GAAGTGACTTAGATTGTTTATACAACACACCTCTTGATTCAAGAAATCTTGGAATTTGTTTTGTTAGAGATATTATGAACAGAAAGACAGAAGATGTTTATTTGAAAGTCGATGAGTTGTTTAAAAAAGCTGCTGTATTACCATTTGAAAATGGTCATGCAATTTTTCCATTGTTGCATAATAACAAACGCTAAATGCAATATTTCACTTTTTTTTCAAATTTAATATGTTTTTCTAATTAAAATAAACATCAATTTTAGGTTATTTATATAAATAACAAAGTATATATAACATATTTTCCCTGATAAATGTCCCCTAAATCCAAACTCATATTAAATTACGGATATAAGCCCCTTGATATATGTGCTATATATTAAAATACAATTAAATTTTTACTTTCAAATCTATACTTATTACATTGTTGTTGTTTTTTCTATGTTTTATTTAAATTGATAATTCATTGACTTCATTGAAGATTTAATTTATCATTGCTTTTTAATACAGTACTTTTGTATACTTAAAACATTTTGCCTAAATGGAGTTTACAAATGGATGGGCCGCAGCTGTTTGACTTGAAAATGTTGATGGTAAGAAAGAAAACGTGGAGAGGAAATTGGAGAAGAGGTGGAGAAGAAATTGTATTGGCCACAAGGCATGAAAGTACTAAAGTTTACAAATTCTACACCAAACAAAGAGCTATGGTATCAATATGATCTAGTTTCAATTAAGTTAGTTGCAGGTAAGTGATTTAAAAAATGTTACGGTTTAATTTTGGATTTTAACACATAAGCAAGGCTGGAATACACATATAGTTAGAGTTTAAAAACATTTGGTATGTGATCTAACTTTTTAATGTGTTGTTCTTGAAGAACGTTGTTTATTACACATTAATTTAAAATATTTATTTTCAGACAAAAAAAAAACATGTGAACAATTTCTATCTATATATACGTGTTCAAGTGCCAGCGAAACGGACAATAGAAAAGAAAAAGCATTAAGTAAGCTTGGAATTTTTTTTTAATGTTTTTAAATGATCTGAATAATTTTATTGTTTGTATTTAGTTAAACGATGAAATTATGACAAAAGATTCGCTCTTTATCTTTTATGTTAAAGTTATTATTTCCTTGTTAACTGTTGTCTGTCATTAACAAAGCAAGTAAAAAATGTACATAATGACAACAGATTTATCTTTACAATCGTCTACAAAACTGTGCTCTAGTTTGCCAGTCCCACCAAAATTGTTTTCAGAATAAAAGTTGACTTTTCTTCATCTTTTGTTTCAGATAAAGGTGCGTTTATTTTTAATCAATTTATTGATATAAATAACTTATAGAGGCATATTTCTTTTGCAAAGTCTCACAATATAAACGTCGTAAAACAAAGACTTTTTACAGTAATTTTATCAATTACTTTAAATGAAATTTTAAAAAACTAAATTCAGAGAAAACACAGCCAACATGGATCCAGAGGAAAAGCTCAAGATTATGCTTGTCTATCCCTAAGCGTCCGCATTCTACTATTAGTAAGTCAAGTTTTGTTATGCAAGACAAAATTATCTAATCATATCTATCAATTATATAATCATATCAATTATCTAATTTGGTTGACTTTATCTAATTTGTTGATTTACTCATCACAGTGAAAATGTTTTTTTGTGATTCAAATTTTTTGCTGTTGTGAATCATCATCTTCTTGTAAAAGACCGCAATTGAGCCTTGCAGCATCAGACCAGCTTAGTGGTAAGCTCAGAAACATTTAATCTTTAATGCAATAATGTAGAAATCCATTAAATTTTTTTTGTATTTCGCACCTCTTTTAGAAAAGGGTTGTATCTCTAAAATGCAATTAAAAAATTTATATTGTCTGATACTTCTTTTTTCTATAATAGTTTTCAACATGATGGCATATACACCTTTTTTTAAACTATTAATAACTCATTAATAAAAAATACTCGAAGCATAATACTTTAAGATAACATGGAAGATACTCCATAGTTTTTACTGTCTAAATATCTCATTTTTGGCAAAATGGACATACGTTCCTTTTTGATAATGGGTGCAATTTAGTTATGTATAAATGTCGTATTTAGAATCTGAATATGAAAGTATTATACCATCAGCAAAAGAATCATTGGCTTAAATGTCTGGCGGTTCGTCTTATTAAATGCCATGTTTCTTTGAAACCATTTGCAATGTAATTTGTTTGCTGTAAACTATGCTCATCATGTTATTTTTTATATTTTATGTTATTTAAAAACTTCTTACTTTAGTCAATTTTTTGATATTAACTAATTGACCTTTATATAATACAAGGGTTGAATTAAGAGAGCAAATTACAATTTTTGTAAAAACATCTGGTCTTCAAAATTTCAGTTTATGGAAAACCATGAAGTTATGGAAGAGGCTTTAATTTGTTAGGTGAACTAGCTACAAATGAAACTTTAAAGACTAGATATTCTATAATTCTATACTTTTTATCTAGATGATATATAGATAAATTATAATTTAGTAGATAGTTTTATAATTTGTGATTGTTTAATTTAACCGTTTTAAGATTATAAAAATTTTTTTTTTTGTTATTAAAAATAATTATTTCTGAGTATAATGTTTTGACCAATCTCCTGCTAATATTCATGACTATCATTCATATGTCATATTTTACTAATAATTTCTCTCAGAAACAGCTGTATTTCCAATTGAACCGACTTCAAAAAGAGGTATCCTTTTTCACATATTTTAAAATATATATAAATATATTTTATATACATTGTACTTTTTTATTTTAGTTACAACGAAAATTATACTTTCGTAAGAATAATTATACTTTTGCAAGAGCTGTAAATTGCCCCCGTAAACCGTTATAGGGGAATGTAGGGCGAAAGCGAGAGCTAAAGCTCTCGCTTTTCGCCGAGGCCAGTATATGTATATATATGTATATGTATATATGTATGTGTATATATATTTGTATATGTTTATTATACAGGCTTGGTCGGGAAGCGGGACCGATCGCTCTCGAATACTGACCACGGAAATTATGTTTAGTTGCGAAAAACTAGCCAGGTTTTTTAGTCGTTTTGAGAACATTTAAGTTTATGTACGAAACAAAAAAACTTTGTTTTACGGACATACATGGAAACATAATAAACTTGAATGTTCTCTCTCAAACATCTTTGTGCGAAAGAATTAAAAAAATATTCGCGAACACCAAAAACCCGCTAAATTAACGAAGAAACTAATTCTATTAGTTCAAAAAATACCCTGACTTAGCGACATAAAGTTTTAGAGTATCCTGTTGAAATGTTTTAGAAATTGTCATATTCACGATTTGTTACGTTTTGAGATTTCTAGGTTGCTTGTTTTAAAAATTTATATTATTTGTTTACAAAAATAAATATTTTAAATATATATTAAATTGTCAAAATTTCAAAAGTTTATTATAAATTATAGATTTTATTAGTATATTCTTATTTTTTATTTAAAAAGTATGTATTCTTTATGTAAATGTAATTTTGTGTATCTGTTTTTTATCGTAATGTATTTTTTAAAGCAATTTTTATGATTTAAACAGAGACTTACAAAAATAATTGTGTTTTCAATAAAGTTATAATCGTTATAGTTAATAAAACTAATTATGTAACGAACATATAAGAAGTTTCTAGTTACTAAACACAAACAACGCATTCAAAGTAACTCGCGGATGAACAAGCACCGCGCCTGAGGTCACGACAGAACACAAATTTATATATATATAGCAAATAATTAGATATAAAGAAAAGTTTCTATATATTGGTTTACCAACTCTAATTATTTTCGCTTAAGTTGCCATCCTTGAAACTCGTTTTACTTTTTTCTGCTTTAAATACTAATTAAAATTAAAAAGCCCACTCGCTAAACATCATCAGCGATATTGTGAAGCAGTTTCGCTTCCTCGTCATAAAATATTTTTAACCTTTCGTTAACCTTAGTTGATTTCTATCTTTTTAATTTAATTTCTATAGTAATTCAATGATTTAATTATTTCATTTGTTTATCTTACTAAGAAGACTTGCTTCAAATAGGTTAAACTTTTCAAACTACGCGAAACATAAAATAGGTATTGAAAAAATCAACTTTTTTATTTATAAAATAGTTTAGCGTAAATAAAACTAAAACTTGCGAACTTTACTAAATAAAATGCATTTGTTTCTTTTTTAAACAATCGCAAGTTGTTACTTTATATAAAAAACATTGCTTAATTTTATAAAAAAAATTTCCAAAAGAGCGATGTTTCGAAAATATTTTTTCTAAACGTAATTTATTTAGCTTTAAGTTTTTTCGCGTCTAAAGATATTTTATTTGCCTAATTTTTTTTTTTTTTTGTTATTGTTTCTCATCGGTCCAATTAATCTTTTGCGGTTTTTTTTTTTGCTTTTTAAAATGTTCTTAAAACGACTAAAAAATCTAGCCAGCTTTTCGTAACTAAATTTATTTACGTGGTCAGCAATCGAGAGCGATCGCTCCCGCTTCCCGACCAAGCCTCTATAGTATATATGTATGTGTATATATATATATATATATATATATATATATATATATATATATATATATATATATATATATATATATATATATATATATTTTATCTTATTCGGTTTCAGAGTACCAGAATCTGTCACTTGGTCTCTTGTGGAAGATAAAAGAAAACGTAATTTGTAAATTGTCGTTGGCCAACAGAAGTAAAGGATAACAATGCAATAAAAATGATGGCAACGATGGAAGATTTTAATGCCTTTGAAAGAGAGTTGTTCGACAAACAGAAATGTTCAATTATGGTATTTGTTATATTTTTTTCATTTCTGGTTTTTTGATATTCAAACAAGATTAAAAATTTACGCATTTTTCAATATCTTGTGATTTTAGTAATAAAATTTTATAAGTAAGGTGAGAGAACCTCACTATAACCAGAAAGTTTATAAACATCGTTTATAAAACATCTGTTTATAAACATCGTTGCTATAGTATTTATTATTGTGTTATCTTTCAGAGAAAATCTTTACGTCAAGTTCGTGGTTTGGATGCGAAAGACCAAGTAAAAATGATACTGGAAAGGTTCACTTTCTTTTAGCTAAGCAACATTGCAGCTTTCTAGTCTTTATTTTTGTTTATGTGTGATTCATCTGTGCGGATAATGATATCGCCTGTTTTTTATAATTTTATGTTGTTAGGTAAAGCATCATTATATTTCAGGCTAAAATTGAGCTTGGAACAATAGGTTTATCTAGTTTAAATAAATAACAACTCTCAATGTGTATTAGCTGAATTATCTTTTTGTTTTAATAGTCCTTAGTCAATAACGGATTTTTAAATTGTTATGGGTCTACAACACTAAATTTCAACGAAGTTAAATTAAAAAGTTACGTCATAGTAGACAAGAAAAATATCAACATCTGTTTTTAATAACTTGTCTTTCATAGCAAATCTGAGAGGTGCAAATGCTTAGCTTGCTTTAAGTACTACATAACATAATACATCGTTGTACATTCATTTTGATAATAATAAATTTTTCTAGCATACTTATTTATTATATTTTTAGACTGTTTACCGTTGGACTTCTGTCCCAATTTAACTTAGTGGAGACAAAAAGAAAGGACCGCGGTGGAAATAAGAGGGGGTTGTAAGGATCAGCCGTTTTTGAATTAATAGTCGGTAAGTCTAATGTGTTTCCCTCAGCTGATAAAATTTCATTTGCTATTTCATATTACAATAAAAAAGTGACTGTTTTTCATGTTCGCTCACTTTTTAGAAGTCGCAGCCAGCTCGTATAAAAAGACTTTTCGACGAGAAATAGTTAATTTTATTCAGAGAAAGCTGAAGAACGCCCCTGATCAAATCAAGGGGTTGCGTGAACAACAACGCCAAGAAACAGAGGAGAAAGCTGAAGAAACAGAGGAAAAAGAGGAAAGTGAAAATAATGTGGAATTTGGAGATAAATCTGCTGATGACTCTTAATTTATTTAACTTAGTTTAACTTAATTCATTTAACTCTTAATTTAATTAATATATTCTGCTGAACAATACTGCTGTTTTATTTATAAATAATTCTCCTATGTTTATACCTATAAAAAATAATGAAAATGTCTCTTTCATATGTTAAATAAAAAATAATGAAAATGTCTCTTTCATAATCTCTTTTATATTGACTTCTAAAAGAGGTTTTTTTCTTGGCACCATCCGACGCTAAGAAGAAAAACTTTTTCAGATGTGTATAATTTGTTAATTATGATTAACAAATACGATTAACTCATTTTTTATGCCTTATCATGACAAGCTAAAGACAAAAAATACGTCTTTTCTCTGTTGAAAGAAGATGTTTTTTAGATTTGCATAATCGACTAAAAAAAGACGTCTTAAAGTTGCATTTTTCATCTCTTTTTATGACAAGATAAAAACAAAAAAAAGTTGGATATCCGGAAAAACTATAAGTTGAAAAATATATCGCAATTCCGAAAAGGGCTTACCCTGCATACGGATCCTATATATTATGATAAAGATTATTATTTAAACCAACCTTTTTTTTAATTAGTAATCCAGCAGAAACTTGTTTATAAAAAAACAAAGAAATATATGGATTTACTATAATAGCTAACGTGTATCAACATATTTATTTCAGCATACATCCAATCCATATTTATACTAATTTTATAAAATACATTTTGCCTTAACTTGGCGTTAGATTATTAGTTTTATTTCATTAATTTTTTTATAGATCAGGTTAATAATAAAAGCAATTGGATTTTACTCAATATTTTTGAAGTAATTATTCAGCTTTAATAAAATTGATAAAATCATAAAAGACAGTTAAAAAATATATTTAAAACTTTGTTCACTTTTTGAAAATCCGTAAAAAAGCAAGTATCAAGTTTACTTATCTTTAAAAGAAATTTATTTACATGATATATAGTTAAATATGTAACAAAAATATTTTAAAACAGAGGCATATATAAAACACATTTTTCTTAAAAAAAACAAAGTTGAAGCCACCATTTACAGCACCGAGGAGCCAAGCATAGCCTATTGAAAAGAAAACCATATCAAATAATTTAAAATATTTATTACCGATAGGGACGACAATTAAACATGTTTAAAAAGCTACGTGATTCCATATTAGTAGAATTGTTATAGAAAAGTATATTAAAAAAGTATATTTAAAAAAAGTGTATTAAATAGAAAACAGATTTTTAAAAACTACCTAATTTTGTAAGCATTTTGTCTGATGTTCAATTTTGAAACCAATATCTTTAATGAAAAGCCGACTTGTTTAACTAATATTATTCAAAGAATAAAATTATTAACACTTAAAGATAAAGAAAAAAAAATGAATGAGATATAAACAATCGTACTGTAGTATTATATAAATAAGTAGATATATATGAAAAAAACAACAACAACTGGAAAACAGTATACCTGCTTTTGGTAACCTATTGTGATACTGCAGCAGTTGCTGTAAGGATGCAGCTGTTCTTTTTGGTGTTGTTCAAAAACGTAATTTTTATGTTGGCTTTTAGTAAACTTTAGTTTAATTTAAAAGACATCACAACGAATTTAAAATATTCATAATAAAAAGAGCAAAACATAAAATGCTTTAAGGAGCAAACTATAAACAAAAAAGATAAAGAATGGAATCGAGATAAATAAATTGTATTTATATAGCTAAATATATTGCCTTGGGTTTTGGTAAATTTTAAAAGCAGTACCAAATAATTGTTTTTAACAAAATAATGCAGCATCATTATATTATGATAATGGGATAATGAATCAATTCAACTTTCGACTTTAGAATTTAGGGAGGGGTATTTAAGAGGGCTTTAAATTTGAAGTCAGGTTTAATTGGTGAGAAAACAATTAAAAATTTTATTAAAACAAATTAAAACAAATCAAATATACAACGTAATATATATTTAAAAAAAAAATTACAAAATTATAATAAAAAAACACCGAAACAAAAAATTACAAAATTAAAAAAAAAAAAAAAACCGAAGAAAAAGCAGCAACTAAAATGTCATAAATATCTCTACTGATAGAAGACATTTACAACCTTTTGGTTGCTGTTTTTTCTTCGGTGTCTCCCGACACCCCGGTATGGATGAGCCCTCCATTTAAAGGAGGGCTCATCCATTCCGCCATTATATTTCCATTTGTTGAAGGACCTCTCTGAGAGAGGTCCCAGGTGTTGGAATTTGAATTTGAATTTCAAATTTGATTCATTTCTCCTAAATAATTATAATCTGGAATAGCATTACTTCTCACTATAGAATACATTCGTCCTTGTCCAACAGCTCTTCTTTCATTTTGGCGACAATTAACATTATCTCGATCGAGCCTATTTCTTTCGTTTTGGCGACGATTAACGTTTTCTCGATTAAGCCTACTTCTTTCATTTTGTAAATAATTAATTTCATCAAGCCTAAGTCTATTTCTTTCATTTCGTCTAAGGCTATTTTAAACACGCCTTATAGCACTTACATCATTTTGTAAATACATAACTTCATCTAGCCTATCATTCATTTCAATTTCATCATTTTGATTAAACATGTTTATCAAAGCAACACTAATTATTTCTTTTTTTTTTACTAATCTAAAGTTAACAATAAAATAAAAAAACTTAATAACTAAAAAAATCATACTCGAAAAATAAAAAAAAAAATTTCAAAACAAATATATATAAAGAAACCAAACAAATGCAAAATAAAATTAATTTGCTCTCATCAAAAGTAATACAGGTTTCTTAAGTTTATTTGATAGAAGTTAAGAAAAACCTGCAACCACATCAGCAAAAACTTATTAAAACTTATTTTATTTCTAATAAAAAAAAAAAAAAAAAAAAATTGCGACAGCGTCATAGTTCATGCGTTGGGAGAAAACATTGAACAAAACACGTAATAAAACTTATTAATGCATTATGTACGATAGAAAACAGGTTATTAACGCGGGTTTATAAATTTTTTTTTCCTAACACACTATTATGCTGTCGCAACTCCAAGGATATATATAGTTATATATAGTTATATATAGTTATATATATATATATATATATATATATATATATATATATATATATACATATATATATATATATATATATATATATATATATATATATATATATATATATATGTATTTATATATATATATATATATATATATATATATATATATATATATATATATATATATATATATATATATACAGAACAATTTATTAGTGAAAACATATGAAAACCAAAATTTTTTTTACAATATATATAGTATATTTGATAAATAAACCTCTACAATTTCTTTGGTTCAACAACTCGATAATGATTAATAACAACTCCGTAAACATTAATTTTCTAATAATTTAAATCTTAATAAATTATAACAATTAACTACTTATTTAAACAAATAATTACTTATTAAATTTTAAAAGATTTTATATATACCTAATGTCTACTTAGAAATACTTAATGTCTATTTATACATTAAAAAGATCTACAATTTTGAAAACCTGAAACTTAAAATCTACCTCAAAAAAAACAGATATATATTGAAAAGTATTTTTATTTCTTTTTAAAAAATTTAAAAATGCTTTTTAACTTACTCCCTCCAATATTATTATATAATTTATAGTATATATTGATAAATAAACCCCTACAATTTTCTTGGTTTAACAACTTTTTTTTAAACTTGGTTTAAAAAAATTTCTAATAAATACATATTTAGATACCTTAAAATGAAGCATAACACAACACTCTTTTGACTAATTCCAGAAGAAATTTTCTTACTTTTTTTATTCCTTATTATTTTTCCTTAGAGAATATATATATGTAGATATAGAGAAATATAAAATAGACTGAAATAAATCGAAAACCTTAATTTATGTATGAGAAAATAAGTTGAACTTGCTAAAAAAGCGATCAGCTTCTCTAAAACTGCTCTAAAAAATAAAACAAATACTGCTTAAAATGTTTGTTGTACTAAATAAACTATTTTACCAGTCAATTTAGTTCTAACTTAATCTAAAAAATGAAAAATAAATACATATTTAGATACCTTAAAATGAAGAATAACACAACACCCTTTTGACAAATTCCAGAAGAAATTTTTTTTATTTTTCTATTCTCAATTATTTTTGCTAAGAGAAAATACATATAGATATACACATATATATATACATAGCAAACTAACAATTATTTAAATTTTTATTTTAAAAAACAAACAACATTAATTCTTCTTGAAAATAAATGTATCAGCTCCAATTTGATTGCTGATTTTACTCGAATGACCGCATGGAATATATAACTGCGCTTAGAAAATTCTAGAGGCAAAGAAATAGTATATTTTACATAATGCAGAACCGTAATTAACAAAACGAACAATAGGAGTAACAATGCGTAACTATGCGCACTATTAATATTCATAGGCTATTCATTATAGGCGGATGTGTATTTGTTTGTATTTATTTCCAAATTTTTGAGTACCTAAATTTGCAATAAAGTTATTGCAAAATATCTTTGTAATTGTAAAAATAATTTGCTTTCTTATTATATCTATAGTTTATTTTATATATTTTTTTATTGATTACTTTTTGAGTTATAAAAATCCATTGTAAATGGATTTTTATAACTCTTTTTGATAACATTATTTTATATCAAGAAGCTTTTTGAAAAGATTAAGGTGAAACTGCATCACCCGTATTTTTTGGAGTCCACGGCTGTTTTGAAAATATTTTATTTATTGATATTTATTATGTAAAAATTACCTGTATTTTATTTTAACACCGAAATTTGAATAAAAAAAAAAAAAAAAATCTTAATATTATTGATACTTTATTATTATTGTTACTATTTTGTGTTATCACTATAATTATTACATATATCATTATTTTTGTTTAACAATCTTTTCTTTTTTTTCTCACTTATTTATATTTGCTTTTCTTTTTTTTTCTTTTTTTTTTTTTTTTATTTATTCTTTGTTTATTTCTTTTTTCGAGAATTTTATGTTTTTTATATGTCACTCTATTGACTAGTTTGTAACTGTGACATCTAATCAAATTCAATTAATTTACGATGAGCATTTGTAAAATTTTATTGATATGGTTAAATAAAAAAAAAAAATACTCCTACTGTCATTAAAACAGACTTTATAGAACAAGAATTTAGTTGACCTCCTAAGAATGTTAATACTTGGACCTCATTTTCGAATGAGGGCACCAGGCTATCACAACATATTCTAGATGTGTACGTACGTAAGTTGTATAGAGGTTGTTCCAGACTATAATATAAATAAATAGGGCTGGATCAAGAACTGATTGATAAGGTACGCTGCTAGTAACCTGTTCCCAATCGGATGTGACATTTTCAAAGATGACACGTCGTATTCTGTAGGAAAGAAAAGCACTAATCCAATTATAGATTTTGATTTTAGTTTTATATGATTCAAACTTTATTAGTAATTAGAACTTTGATTCAAGTTTCTCTTAAGTTGCATTAGCCATCCCCTTAGTACAATTGCTTGTATCATTGAAATTCGGAAAACTACATAGTTTTCCGAATTTCAATGAAACAAGCAATTGCTAATCTTGCCATATGGCAAGATCAGCTGCTATTGCGCTGGCGCATACTTTAAGAACGTACGAACTTATTTTTTCTTTTCCTGATTTATAATAGTCAAATGCCTCAAGATGTTTTTGAACAGAATTATAACCGAACAAAATGATAAAAAGGAAATTGAGGGAGATTTTGATTGCATGACTCAATAGTAAAGACATTTTGAAATACAAGAATTCAAGAACCAAGTGAGTTGGCGATCAAAACATTATTGGTACAAAGTTTATTTGAAATGTGAATGCAATAGTTTGATATGATTATTGAAATTTTGTTTGCTATTAATATAATGCATAACTTCTTTTTTAGATTATTCGTGTTTTTAGATAGGTTGTTCTCAAATGAGCGATTTGCAGCTCTAGTCTTTTTTTTTACAAGATTTCGAGTAAATTAGTATAGATGTGTATTTGAAATCTTGTACATTTGTATGCAAGGAATGGAGCTGATAGTCAAAAGCAGCAAAGATCATTTGTATGCAAGGAATGGAGCTGATAGTCAAAAGCAGCAAAGATCATTTTTATGCAAGGAATAGAGCTGATAGTCAAAAACAGCAAAGATCATTTGTATGCAAGGAATGGAGCTCATAGTCAAAATCAGCAAAGATCATTTGTATGCAAGGAATGGAGCTGATAGTCAAAAGCAGCAAAGATCATTTTTATGCAAGGAATGGAGCTGATAGTCAAAAGCAGCAAAGATCATTTGTATGCAAGGGATGGAGCTGATAGTCAAAAGCAGCAAAGATCATTTTTATGCAAGGGATGGAGCTGATAGTCAAAAGCAGCAAAGATCATTTTTATGCAAGGGATGGAGCTGATAGTCAAAAGCAGCAAAGATTATTTGCAAAACACGATTCAATAACAAGTAGTTTAACTAATATCAAAACTTCATAATTTTTAAGGGAAATATTTTATTTAAAAACTATTGTGTTGCTTTTTCGTTTATGTTTGGAGTTTGCAATATGTATTTTTAACGGAGAAATTATGTAAACTAAATAAAGTCTTATACTTGTATCATACACTTTTGTTTTTATTTCTCTATAAATTTCTATGTCAATCATCTATTTATAACAACAATACAATGTTGCATAAAACGTTGGACCGATATATGATATTTGTTGTTAAAATAAGTCCAAGCAAGCAAGCTCGTGTTGGCCCAATGTGCAAAATAACATTAGCAATTTATTTGGATTGGGCCAATGCAAAAGTGTCAAGTTTTATTATTTAGTAACAAATATTTGCCGACGCAAATGTACGAAGCACTTTTATTATCCTACGAACGCACATTTAAGTAATTAGTTTTTACGAGTTGTGTGATACTAATCCGCAAAAAATAAATCCGCAGAAAGTTTTGTAGTTTTTTGTCGTTATATTTTATATATAATTGCCATTGTATTTATGAATTTAAATATTGAGCAACGTTAACAAATGAGCTTATTTTTAGTTCAGTGCTGATACACACACAAAAATTCAACAAAAAAACGATAACTGTCCGTTTTTTTCAAACTTTAAAATGTTACCTAAACGACTCATTACTAGAAAGAAAACCTTTTTTTTTTACAGTTTTCTTAACTTTATCTGTTGCCTAACCTTATTTTACTGTTAAAAAAAAGAAAACATGTTGACTCTCCGCAACTTATTTTTTAACATTTTTTACTTTATTTAATATCTAAAAAAAGTAAACAACGTTAAAAAGGTTGTGGATGTTTCTAAAAGTTTTATTATTATCATTAAAATTAGGTCGAGAATCTGAAAAAAGTTAATAAAAACTGTGGATTTTTATTAACAAGAATCTGAAAAAAGTTAATAAAAACTGTGGAAAAATTCTAGTAATGAGTTGCTTAAGTAATTTTTCTAAATTTAAAAAAAAAGTAAAAAACGTTAAAAAAAAGGTCGCGGAGGGTAGAGATCGCAGTCCCGCTAAGTGGGATTCCGCAATCCCGCAGAATCTCCATTTGTTTTAGTGCATGCGAGATCTTGCATTCATTAATGCGGGATTTAAATTACACAACTCATTTAAACAAAAACAACACAAAATAATCAGAGATACTTAAATTTGAACTTGCATATGGGGCAAAACACGTTTATCTTGGATTGATTTGAATGCGTTGGTTGTGTAACAAAGAATGTTGCGTCAGTTTATTGGCTAAAAGACTAAATAGTTTTGACATTAAGAACCTAAAAGAAATTGTCGCCATATGTACTGCTGGAGCAAGTGTAATAGTGAAAGTTGGTAGATTGATACCTTGCTATTAACAACTGTTATACTCATGAAACACAATTTGCAGTCACTGTTAGATTGCACAAGAAAAACAATGGAGAAGTTAAAGAACTGTTTCTACGTATATATCGTTACTAAATGTTGACTACGTATAAAAATTGTAATGAAGAAGTTGGTGAAATTATACATGAAGACTGGGCGCAGTCTTCATGCATAATTTCATCAAACAACATTTATCATGTTGGTAGTATCGTTAAATATTTTGTGGTTTTCTATAAGAGTTATTATTTTTATCATTTTATATTATCATTTACATTTTAGTTTATTGTTCTTTGTTACTTCTGTTTAAAAACTTTATTTATATTTTATTTATATCTTATTATCTTATACATATTGTATTTTATTTTATATTTGTTAAATTATTTGGTTTTGAACTCTCACTATCCATATTATTTCTTCAAAAATATTATTGCTTCACAAATTTGAGTGAGGTTAGGTTTTTTTTTTAATGCAGTATGGAGTAGGGGTAAAGCAAAAATAATAATGAGGTTTATCTGACGGATTAAACTAGGTATTTGTGCTTAGCCTCTTCGAAACGCCGGTAACAACAAACGCGATTCTGAGGAGAAGTTTATTACCACCACTACATAAATTATGATTACACAAAAGCAATAAAACCTTATACCTCCAATAAATTTATATTTATTCATTTTAAATACTGATATATCTATACGTATGTATTTTTATTTTAAGTTTGTTAAACATTTGTGTTTACTGTAGATTTATGGTTACTCATTGTCCTGTTTTGTTTTTGTTACATTTCTTTTACATGCGCGATGTCTAAATTTTTATTACTATTTTTTACTACACGCTTTACTATAGTTCTGAACATCTGTTTAATATATATTGTTAATTATTGTATCCTCGCTCTTTTCCTAAATTTTTCCTCATTTCACTCGGGCTTGTCAGCTCGGTCTAGTCCTTTGATGCATGTTTTTTCATTTTTTTAAATCAAAAGTTTTTTTGATTTTTGATTTTGATGCAAATTATTTTTTGTATGCATAGTACTTTAAAAGCAAAATTAGAAAGAAAAACAATTAGTTCAAACATACCTGTAAACTTAAGAAAAGTTTAAATTCTTAAATTTCTCTTTAAATCTGCAACAAAACTTCGATAATAGGATAATAGGTATTTGAAGATATGATAATAGGGTTCCGATGATATGATAATAGGTATTCGATGATATGATAATAGGTATTTTTTAAGTATTGAACGTACACATTTTTAAAGTCAGTTTTATAACGACACTGCGTTCTTTGAGTGTTGTTAAGCCAAGAGTTTTTAGACTTTTTTATTAACTAAAATGTTTAAATAACAATATTGCGCAATGTTGGACACTTTTGAGTAGAGAAGTTTACAAATAAAAAACTCTAGATGTTTTATCTAACTCTAGGTTTCATCTAACTAAAGGTTTCATCTAACTTTCGCTTTTATCTAACTCTAAGTTTCATCTAACTCTAGGTTTCATTTAATTCTAGATATTTCATGTACAGCTGGTTTCTACTTATATAGCAAGAGTGACCGAAATGATTTAATAAGGCAATCAACCATTTGATTTCCAACCCAAACTGCTGCCTTTATACTTTAAGGTTGGTAAGCATCAGTAACTTCTACATTTAGGATGGTAAGCATCAGTATTCCAAGGTCACGCTCAATACTCGTTAGAACAAGATTGCGCTCGTTACCATCAATGTCAACCATGGTATAATTAAATAGTTTTTGCAACAGCCAACCAGTATTACTTTGCAGTTCTTGATGTTGAATTTCACACGGCAGTTATGGGACGAATTTACAGCGATGTTGTGTCTTCCAGTTTTTCATAGTTGAGGAAAATTCATTGACATCAATAACTTATATGATCTTGCTATTATCGGCGTATAATTTGGTATGGTAATAAATGCAGCATGGAAAGTCATTGAGGAAGAACATAAATAGCATTGATGCAAGAACTGATCCATGAGGAACGCACTTATTCTTTACCAATAGGACGTTTATTCTCAAACTATTACTCGTTGTTGTCCATTAGCTAGCCAAAAAGAGATCCAGTTTAATAGTTGGCATCAAATGTCATATGCATGAGTCTTATAAATAAGTTGTTGCATGACACTGCGTTGAAGCTTTAGCAAGTTATTTATTATTAGTTATTATTAATAACTAATATTAAGTCAAATAGATATCCACGGTAAACTACGTCCGTTTAAATGTTACGAGATTCAAAAGGGGAACGTATGTTCCTTGTGCCCTTCCTTTTCAGCTGCCCTTACCATTCCTATATTTATACCTTACTTCAATATTTTTAGGTAAACGGTAGAAAAAAAATTGAAAACTTATATGTCTACCTTTTAAAGTAATGAATAAAAAAATAAGTTATAAAAAAACTTTAAAATTATTAAATGTTTCGCCAGTCGTTGCGCGAACCGCTTTTTAGTGGTAAAAAATAAAAATCTGTCAAACATTTGTTTTGGAATTCTCAATATTTTATAACTTCTCATAGTAAAGTTTTAAACCTCTATAAAAAAACGGGTATAGGCTTAAAATTTTTTTCTTAATTAAGAGTCCTTGTTAAACTTTTTTCCAGGTGATCCGTAGCTTTTTAGAAACGGATGAAATTCATTGCATATCATATTTTGTTTTTTAAACAGTGTTAAAAATTTTCAGTTTAGTGTATCTTATTTGCTGAAGTGTTTAGCTTGCTAAAGTACAACGTTTCATTCCTGTTGCTTCCGAAGTACAACGTTTCATTCTTGTCGCTTTTATACTAATTTTCTTTTAAATCTTTCCAAGTTTCTAATTTAAACTAAACATTTATAAATTTCATTTGTTTTTATAAAATGGAAAATAAATGCTATAAATCAAAATTAAGGAGACTTTGACGCAATGCAATTTTTAAATAAAATAAAAACTTTATAAAAGTAAAAATATTTATTAATCTTCTATTTTCAAAACCAAAAAAAAAGTTAAAAAAAGAAATGTAGAAGAACCATGGCGTTTTACTTTAGAATGCTGCGACCTAAACACATCAGCCAGTAAGGCTTATTGTTCAGGGAATGTTTTTAAAACTATCGATTGATAAGGATTAAGGATTCAACTATCTGGCTATCTATTGTTTCTCAATGATATGTGATAAAACCGTTAGGACTTGTGGAAGGATCAAAAAATAAAAAATAAGTACCTTAAAAATTTATTTCAATGATGCATGGTCAGAGCTTGCATCGAATATGCTAGATTATTCTATCCAATTCAGGATATTTTTTATGGATATAGAATATCCTGAGTGGGAAATGGGAGATATATAGTCAGCTAGAAGAAGACAGCTACTCAAAACATAAGTATACAGTTTTGTTATCAGGCTTTTAATAGCTTTCTCAGGTTGCTAGTTAGACCCAGGATATTGTTGTTCCGAATCACCCCCTCAGCAAGTTAAAGATTTTAAGTATGTCAAAAGTTTTCTTGTTATTCTATATAGTAAACCGTATAATTTCCTACAACTTATTATAAAAAAGTTTTAACTGCTGATAAGGCATTGGAGTAACAGGATAAAAAAAGGTTTTTTAAAATTAAGCGTGTACCAAATATAAATGACATGTGTCATAAGTCGTAAAATAATAAAAGTAAATATTTTGTTGTAATATAAATATATATATATATATATATATATATATATATATATATATATATATATATATATATATATATATATATATATATATATATATATTTATATATATATATATATATACTCAATAATAAAACGTGACTTATTTCAGAATTATATATTTCGATTTGCTCGTTAAATAGGTAACTCAAAAAAATATTTCTTCATTCACAATTATTTATACCATATAATATTTTCTTCAAGAGAGATATTATAGGTATTTTCTAACTTTATAATGACCTATATACAAAATTCGCACATTGCCTCATTAGCGAAGGAAATCTCTTAAGTCAATATATGACGCTTAGAGACGTTTATAATACAACTATATTATTTACATTAAACTAATATTTACACTAATCGCCTTGTGAACATACTCCTCCCTTTTGTCTAAATGGTCAACATCTTCTGTTTTATACGGCTCGAGACGACACAACTTGGTAATTGGACGTTTCAAGATAAACTTCCCAACTTGAACATTAGCGACTCGCAGTAACCCGTCGTTTCCAGGGAAAACCTCAGTTACTCGACTAAGTGGCCAATTGCCTCTTGAAGTAATTTCGGAGATCACAAATACCAGATCATCTATCGATAAGTTTCCCATTATGAAATTTTATATTTTCGTGGCCTAAGCATCGGTAACCAATCTTTTATCCAGCAATGCAAAAAATGTTTTAATAAATCTTGGACTCGTCGCCATCGTCTTTTTGGGTTGAATGAAGTAATGTTCACTGCATCAGCGGCGAACTTACCACCTAATTGTCCATATAAAAAATGATTTGGTGTAAGGGGTGTGCAGTCTTTAGGATCACTCGATCGATAAAGCAATGGTCGTGAGTTTATAAGTTCTTCTGCCCCGGTAAACGCTGTAACAAGTTCTTCGTCAGTAATATACGCATTTCTTAGTTGAGAATGGGAATAAATTGTTCGTTTTGCGGCTTATATCATGATTTCATGAACTCCTTCGAAATGAAAGGCTGTTAGTGGGTTAAAATGCCATTTAATATTAACATGGCTTGTTGCCTCGTTTATTCTTTTTTTTTCACCATTAGTGCAACTTTGTCGCTCTTTGTTTGCTAATACAAAGTTGCATCCATTACTTGATATCATTTTTTTTGGCGTTCCTCTTCGACTGCTCATCCTAAAAAACGCATTTGGAAATAAGTCGGCGTCCAACGCAAACGCTACTTCAAGGTGAACTGCTTGTAAAGACAAGCAAGTAAACAAAGCTAAATAAAGTTTTGCCCGTTTTTTTTTCTCTTCCTTTAATGGTTATGAACGGACCACCATAATCAACAGCACTTTTTTCAAAGGCTTTCATACTGCTATTATGTGCGTTGCTGACTTTGCTTTTCTTTGCTTGCATTCTGCACATTCCGCATCCCATTTTTTCATCTCTTTTCTTCCAGATACTATCCAATACTTTGTAGACAACTCCGCCAAGAAATGATTTACACTTCATATATGCTGTCCTGCTTCGTGACAATCTTTTACGATCAACTTGGTTATGTGGTTATGTCTTAGCAGAATAATTGGGTATTCTTGTATTGAATGAGAGAAACTCATCATTTTTAATCGACTGTCGTATCTTAACATTTTATTTTCATCTATTCGTGGCGATAATTTTAATAAGCAACTAGTTTTTGAAATTTCTTTATTATTTATCAATTGATTGTACTCTTCCGTGTATATACTTTTTTGAGCACTTATTATTAATTTTGTTTCTGCATCATTATTTTCTTCTGTTGAGAGTGTTCCTGATGATAAATGTTTTTCAAAACAGTTATGTTGGAATCTTTGTACCCAGGCTAAAACTCGTTTTAACTTTCTCCATCTTAAGTAACGGGTTGGTTCCAAATGCCGATCATCGCTATTTTTTTTGGATTTAATAGTCATTAAAGTAAAATTATTCTTTACTTCTAGAATTAATTTGTCTTCGATTTCTTCAAATTCCTTTGTTGGCCATTGGGATTCCTCTTGTTGGATAAAATCATGCCCAGTCCACCACAAGTTACTTTTTTGTAAGTTGTTTATTTTTACTCCTCTAAATGACGAATCCGCAGGGTTTTGCCCTGTCGGTACGTAACGCCATTGTTTCGGATTTGAGTAAACTGGATTTCTCCAACTTTGTTTGCAACGGAGGTCTAAATCTTCAACTTGGATTTTTAATTCAGGATAATGTATTCAAACTATCCGACCAGAGTAACATTCTCCATTTTTATTGTGCAAGGCAAAGCTTCTATGACGGAGAGCGCAAGTTTTAACCCTAATACTGCACTCGTTAACTCCAATCTTGGAATGTTAACTAAATTTAGTGGAACAACACGAGTTTTTGACAAAACATAAGAACTTAACGTTCCCTAAATTCATATCCATAAACTAAATAACATACTGTTTCAAAAGCAGTTTGTGAAGCTTTGACAAATACGTGAAGAATTGAATAAATGATTTTATTATTGTTTGTAATACGTGGTATTTCACATTGGTGAATACTTTTTAGTTCGCTAAACTAGATATCTAACTTTTGTTTTATTTTTTTCTTGTAGCTTTTCATCCTTATCTTCTCCTAACGTCCATAGTTCTTGAAATAATATTTTTGCTCGAATGACGAAAGAAGACAAGAATCCAAGTGGATCGAAGAGGTTTGAGATGTACTTTAAGAGCAGCCGTTTACTCGTAACTGGTTTTGACGGTAGAGTGTAACTAAATGTAAACATATCTTCGGCTGCTTCCCAAAATACATCTAGTATTTTCACTGTCGGTAAGTTCTCTATTTTTATGTTTATTTTTGCTGGTCTAGCTTCAATAGAAATGCATTCTATCACTGTCTTTAAATTAGAAATCCATTTTCTTGCGGTCATTCCCGCTTTTTTCCACAGTTGTGTAAGTTGATTATATAGTTTAATTGCTTTTTCTTTGGTTTCAACTGAATCATTACTGTCATCCATATATGTAGACTTATCAACAGTCTCCACAGCCTGTAGAAACTTTTTTTATATTTCGCTACATGTGTTTGTATTGTATTGCTTGAAAAGGGCTGGAATTGACACCAAATACAACTTTTGTAAATTCAAATAACTCAGGGTTTTTATTTCCTACTAGATCTCGCCAAAGAAATCTGTGGTCTCTTCGATCTTTCGGATTCAGCTCAATTTGCAAGTACATCTCTGTTATATCACCCAGCAAAGCGACTGCGTTTCTTCGGAACTGCAACAGAACGACACAGAGATCTCGTTGCAGTTTTAGTCCTTGATGGATGACGTCATTCAGCGAAGCACCTTTGCATTTTGCAGCAGCGTCAAAAACGATTCTGACTTTTGTGGTCTCCTTTTCCAACTTTACAACGTTAAAGTGTGGGAGGATTCATTAATTTTTGTAATCATTTTTTCTTACTTTTTTGTTATAACCTTTTGTTAAGTAAATCCGTATTGTTTCTTTGTAAATTTCCAATACCTCCGGTGTTCTTTTAAGCCGTTTTTCCGTACTTATTACACAATTTACTGCCATTTCATAGTTATTTGGTAACAATTTTGGATCTTCTTTCCAAGAAATGCTAATTTGATATCGCCCATCCACATAATTTGTCGAATTTTTTGCTTGATTTAGGGCCTTTTTATCTTTAACACTTCCAGCTTGCGTTTCTAATGTTGGATGAACATTTTCGATTTCCCAAAATGTTTTTAGTGTTTCATTAATTTTTTAAACTTCAGAAATAATTTTAGTTAACGTTCTGGTGTGGCAAGTATAATGATTTTGATTACGTCCAAGCGCCCAAACACACGTCCATCCCAGTGGCGTAAGTCATGCTATTGGATCTCCAGTGCGTCCTTTAACTTCTGTTTTCGATGAGTGAAATTCAGCGTTATCCAATCCAATAAGAATATTTACGATCGATTGCTGTCCTAATCTGCAAAATGGTATCTTCTTTGGTGACTCCTTTGGTTTTTAACTCATTCCAATTCACCTCTTGCATGTTACTCGTAACTCTATCAACTTTTAATGCATTTATCTTCTTTACTAGCATCATCCAATTGAGCGTTAACTTTTATTGACAGTTTTCCATTTGTTAAAAATGACAGATAAAGTTCTCATAGCCTCATCTTGACTTTGATCTTTGCTTGAAAACTTGGTAAGGAGAGTTGTTTCTTCCTCGTTCGTTTCTTTAAATGCAATAGTTTGTTATAAACTTCCTGACAACCATCAATTTCACAATTTCTTGATTTCTCTCATTTGTTTCCAATATGATCATTACCCAAACAACAATAACATAGATGATGAAACTTTGCCTTTTCCCATCTTTTACTTACTGCCATGGATTTGAATTTTTCAAATTCCCAAACTTCATGTTTACCATTACAAATCTCGCACGTTTTTGTTTCATCGTGTTTGAGCTTTTCTCTAAATTATGTTCTTTGTTTTTCTTTAAAGATTTTAAATAATTATAATTTGTATCTTTCAAACCACATAAGGTTTCCTGGGCAACTGTATAAAACTCAGCTTCTTGAATAAACCGTTCTCGCAAAGATTCCACTCAAGGACTTTTTTGCTTTTCAAATAACCATCGTAAAAATACACTTAGCATTGTTTTTGGTAACTTCTTCATAAATTAAATGTAGAGTGAGCCATCTGTTAACTGTTCAAATTTTCCCAATTCTTTAACTTTATGACTGCAATGTCCAACATATTAGCAAAGTTTTCAAGATCAGTTGGGTTGTTTCGTTTTACTGGAATGAAGTTTTCTACTCTCTCCAAATACAATGCAAATTGTAGTCGTTTGCCCCCGTACTTCCATTCGAGTCGATCTTTTGCAGCTTCGTACGCAGCTTTTGAATACTCCAAACTTTCAACAACTTTTGAAGTTTCTCCTGATAAGTACTGGCGTAGTTGCAAGAGTTTATATTACGGTGTAGGTGGAGCCCTATCAATACTTGCTTTAAATGCCGCCTTCCGATTTTTGTATGGCGTTTTATTTCCAGAGAATACAGGAATTGACTCTAGATAAGTGCCTCCATAAGTCTTGTCCAATTTCTTATTTCGTACTTTCGTCGTTATTTGTCGGTGAAAAGTTAATACCTTTTTTACAGTACTCCGTTATTTTAAATGATTCACCTCGCTAACCAGTTACAACAGGGCGTGTTTGATACTCCTTTTTTACATCAACAATTTCAACATGCCATTTGACTTACTGCATCCAGTTGGTCATTTTTCAACTCATCCCATTCAATTTGCCGATTTTGCATCAAATGTTTTATATATCCATCATCAGTCAATCTATTATCCATTAATCCACAACGCATTGATCTCATTTCCATTTTTCCCATACCATGTTGTTCATAACCAACTTTATTAATGCTATTTTTATTTTTCATTTTTTGACCAATCTTTTCAATTTGACATTTACGTTCGCCATCATCCTCTATTGTGACAATGCTTGAAGCGTCATCTTTTTGATAGTAAAGATATTCATGCGTCATTTCGTCTGCTTTTATGTAGACACACTCTGTTACTTCAATTTCTTTTGTAACCTCGGTCGCCATTTCAAGTTCGTTATTTTTCCGATACTCAACTGAAAGGTAATCCATTGTCTTTGTTGCAGCCGAATGTGCCATATCAAGTTTTTCCTAACATTCGCGAATATCGTTTCTGCTCGGAAGGTCACAGGAAATTTATTCCATTAGTGTTCTTCTCGTTCTCGTAAGCGTCGCTTTTGTCTTCGCTTTAGCTCGTTTTAGCTGATCCATCCGAATATGATGAACTCCTTCCAACTCACTTTCACTTTCAATATAGCTCATTTTTGTGTTCAATTGTTAGAAAACTACCCTCTGCTACCAAAACGTTTGTGTGAAAGCGCGTTGGGCGTACTAAACTCAATAATAATACGTGACTTATTTCAGCATTGTATATTTCGATTAGCACGTTATATAGCAAACTCAAACAAAACGCTACTTTAATAAATTTATACACAATTATTTATACCATATAATATTTCCCCAAGAGAGATATTATAGGTATTTTCTAACTTTATAATGATCTATATACAAATCTCTAACGTCAATATATGGCGCTCAGAGACTTTTATAATACAACTATATTATTTACATTAAACTAGTATATACACTAATCGTGAACCTCGTGAACAGTATGTATTTTTATCCATTTATTTAACCATAAAGTTAAAAATTAAAAAATTAATTATAATTTACAGAGTTAGGTTCGGTGTTACTCATATAGTTCAAAACAAGTTAATGGAGTGACACCTTAATAAAATAAACAAATGAAAAAAAAAATTTAAACAAGGAAATAATAAAAAAAGTAAGTTACAATAATACAAGTAATAATAAAAAAAAGTAATAGGAACAA